GGCGAGTGGTTCAGCTATGTTATAGAAGCCATTGTTCTGGTTGAAATTGTTGGTTGTAGAGATGAGCGATGATTCCAGGATTCTTCTGTATTCGAACTCAAGACTTATAGCCACAGAAGACAACACTCAATACAGAAGAATCCTGGAATCATCGCTCATCTCTACAACCAACAATTTCAACCAGAACAATGGCTTCTATAACATAGCTGAACCACTCGCCAAGAAACTTCTTCATCGCTATCCCACATAAGAACATAGAACACTGCAGAAGGTCTACAACTTGTCCAATACCCCTGCCAAGCTACCCAAGACTCTATAACCCCACCCGGTAGATCATCAAATGCAACATTCTCCACCTGACCTCAACATTCTGAACATGACTATAAATACTCTCGTACCTTCCAACCCCAGGTAGATCCGTGTGTGACTTGAAAAAGCCCACTGTGTGGGTGAAACGTTGTTAATAAAGGATCACATTATACTGCATTTGTGTTTATATTTCCATTGTGTCGGTATTTTATACCATTTATTTCCACCGAAACTGACTGTAATGAAACTGACTGTAATGAAACTGACTGTAATGAAACTGACTGTAATGAAACTGACTGTAATGAAACTGACTGTAATGAAACTGACTGTAATGAAACTGACTGTAATGAAACTTACTGTAATGAAACTTACTGTAATGAAACTGACTGTAATGAAACTTACTGTAATGAAACTTACTGTAATGAAACTTACTGTAATGAAACTGACTGTAATGAAACTTACTGTAATGAAACTTACTGTAATGAAACTGACTGTAATGAAACTTACTGTAATGAAACTGACTGTAATAAAACTTACTGTAAAGCATTACTAGGTATGAAATAGCACAACTTATAGAATGAGACTCGATATTGGGATTACACAATAGAAGTGATAAAAAACAAATTTTGATCTATCAGACTGTATTCGTGTGGTCTACGGATTCTGAGGAAGGATATGTACAAAGAAAGAAGTGTTTAACAGAAAAGGCAGACTTGGTGCACTCAAACCTAGACTGTTAAATCTCAGAATTCGGAGAGAACATGAACACACACACACCAAAAAAAATCTTGATTATTAATAAGTTGATACTCTAATTATTCATCTATACAGGTTATTTACATTTAACCCCAACTCTGCTAGGGTGAGATTGACATATGCAGAATGGGTATCATCTCTGGGAGAATCAAACTCTGTTGCACTGGCTAACTCATGTCATATTTGAGGCAGCTCTGAATTGGTATTTACAAATGATACTTGAGAATTTCTCAGTACCTGTCGTGTATGTAGGGAATAACAACATTCAGGTTGATCATCTGACTGAGTATCAGAGGTAGAGAGTACAGGATCAGGAGGATTGTCAGGGTCTGTCACATTAGTGTGAGTTGGAACATCATTATCATCACATACTAACTTCATGTGATCTAAATGCAATTATTTATACTGACCAGTACTAATTTCTCTAACCTTATACTTATTGCCAGTGATATGTTCAACTACTCGATAAGGACCAACAAACTTTTGATCAAGCTGAGGCACTGCAGACGTTTTGTTAAAGTTAGTCAGCATAACTCTCGAACCTACTTTGATTTTGGTCGGCTTTGCTCGAGTGTTTGTGACTCTTGTAAATTCTGCTGTTGATTTATGAAGTGTTTCACGGATTCTTCTAAAAACACTTTGAGCTAAGCTGGTACGAGTTGCTATGAAATTATCAGGGTTGTAATTTGGTGTCGGGCTAGAATATAACAACTCATAAGGCAACCGTTTATCTACACCATACAATGCATAAATTGGGGTGTCACCTATAGAAACATTGTAAGCAGAATTTACGGCACACTGAACATCTGGTATAACTTTATCCCAAGTTTCACTGTTGGGATTGATAGTGGCTCTCAAAACATCAAGTACTTTTTTATTGGTTCGTTCAGCTAACCCATTGCTGGCAGGATGGTGAGGAACAATGGTGGATTTAGAGATCTTGTATAAAGTACACAAATTTTCACGAATCTCATTACAGAATTCACCTCCATTATCTGTTACTAAGGACTTAGGGGTGGTATGCCCGCAGATAATGCGTTCTTTAAAAAGCTTTACTACTGTCCTGCTCTTATCTGCAATAGGAACTAACTCACAATATCTGGTGAAATGATCTACCATAACACACAGATGTTTGTTGCCTTGGAGGGAACATTGGAAATTAGTTAACAAATCTAGCGCAACTCTTCCCACGGTTCGCTAGTAGTTGGATACACTTGGATTGGATTAGGACCACTAGCATTACCTTTATGCTGCATGCAGACACTACATTTTTTAAAACATACTCAGAAATATCATTTTGCCATACGAGGCCAAAAGTATTTCAATCTGGCTTGTTTTACTGAACGATCCATCCCCAGGGTGTGCAACACCTGGTACATCATGAACTAGCCGTAAGGCTACATTCACTAGTGACTGGAATTACTAACTGGTATACTCTTCTGCTAGGAGTACCCAACTCAGCTGTTCGATACAGTAATTCTTGGTTCATGACAAAGTCACTGATGGGTGCTGGTGGCTTCACAGTCAGAATAAGATCTTCCTGGAGCAGGAATCGAATCACACCAGATCACATGGGATCTGTTCTTTGGGCAATCTTTACATCCTCGGCAGTAAATGGAGGGTCTGCAGTTACTATACTAACATGTCACGATAAAGCATCTGCGACTACATGTGACATGTGAAGTATGTCACTACGCGTCCAGGAGCCAGACAGTTGAGAAAAACTGGAGGGGACACCCTCCTAACGAGCATTCTGATGCACCTCATGTACTCGGTAGTGAAGCTGTCATCTGCGATACACAGAAACCAAAGATGAAGTTCTGCACAACCTTTAAATATGCATGAAATGGTCCAAATTTTGGCACACAGTACAGACTCATATAGTGGAATAAAAATTAAATTTTGGAGCGCACTTCCATTGAAGTTTTAAAATTAACATGTATTTTTGGACTGGTTTGAAGTATATTCTGTAAAGTGCACTTAAATATTTAGTGAATTTTGAATAAACTTTTGTTTTTTATTCTTATCGAGTAGCATATTTTTTATAATAATATTTCTAATATATCTAATAATATTTCACTTATTACAATACATGAAACTTTTTATAAGTTAAAATCTTAATGCTTAAGTTTAAAATAAAATAAGGGAGATAAGATTTTCTTCGGATTTTTAACCCCGGAGGGTTAGCCACCCAGGATAACCCAAGAAAGTCAGTGCGTCATCGAGGACTGTCTAACTTATTTCCATTGGGGTCCTTAATCTTGTCCCCCAGGATGCCACCCACACCAGTCAACTAACACCCAGGTACCTATTTGCTGCTAGGTGAACAGGACAACAGGTGTAAGGAAACGTGTCGAAATGTTTCCTCCGTGTGTGAAGCGAGAGCTCTAGCCACTGGGCCGCCGGGCATAAAAGTTATTTATGAGTTATATTAATTCATAAATTGAAATTTTTTAAGTTGTTCACCCTGTCACTTATATGTCTCTAAGTTAGGTTGTCACTGGTAATATTACTAAGTTAGGTTGTCACTGGTAAATTTACTAAGTTAGGTTGTCCTGGTAATATTACTAAGTTAGGTTGTCACTGGTAATATTACTAAGTTAGGTTGTCACTGGTAATATTACTAAGTTAGGTTGTCACTGGTAATATTACTAAGTTAGGTTGTCACTGGTAATATTACTAAGTTAGGTTGTCACTGAAATTAACTAATTTAAAGGTTGTCAACGGGTTTAATATTACAAATAGGTTGTCACTGGTAATATTACTAATTAGGTTGTCACGTAATAATTTACTAAGTTAGGTGTCACGGTAAATATTACTAAGTTAGGTTGTCACTGGTAATATTACTAAGTAGGTTTCACTGGTTAATATTACTAAGTTAGGTTGTAAAGGTAATATACTAAGTTAGGTGTCACTGTAATATTACAATAATTTAGGGGTTGTCACGGTAATATACTAAGTTGGGTTGCACGGTAATTTAATAATTAGGTTGTCACTGGAAAATATTACAAAAGTTAGGTTGTCACTGGGTAATATTATAAGTTAGGTTGTCACGTAATATACTAAGTTAGGTTGTCCACTGGTAATATTACTAAGTTAGGTTGTCACTGGTAATTTTTACTAAGTTAGGTTGTCACTGGTAATATTACTAAGTTAGGTTGTCACTGGTAATATTACTAAGTTAGGTTGTCACTGGTAATATTACTAAGTTAGGTTGTCACGGGTTAATATTTACTAAGAAAAGGTTGTCACTGGTAATAATTACTAAGTTAGGTTGCCCACTGGTAATATTACTAAGTTAGGTTGTCACTGGTAATATTACTAAGTTAGGTTGTCACTGGTAATATTACTAAGTTAGGTTGTCACTGGTAATATTACTAAGTTAGGTTGTCACTGGTAATATTACTAAGTTATGTTTGTTTTTTCAGATGAGAAGAGAGAGGAAGAGGGGCATATAATAAAGAAGAGCGTCACGCGCTCTATCAACAGAATATATCGCAAGATACTTGAGGCACTATGGATATCGTATCTAAGGAAGTACTTAATGGACTGAGATTCATTATGGCTGTTAATGTCTGTGGTCGACAAGTTATGTATAATACATTCGTCTGGGGAACCCCGGGTAAACCTGCCAATGTGAGTCTCGATGATTACTTAGAAAACTTGAATCCTGGATCATCACTCAACTACTTCACTTTATCTAAAAAGAATAGAAGGTTTAATAGAACACAGGACAAGATGATCAAGAAAAGTCCAGATGGATCAGAATTTGATCTGTCACTACTCTATGTGAGCATTAGAGTTGCCTGTGAGAAAGTCGCAGCTCTCAATGACCCAAAATGGACCACTGAAAGCACAGAACTGGAATACTACATCACTGCTATAAAGAAAATGAGAAATGATGCTTCTCATGATCAACTTACAATTCCCCGATAAACAGGTTTTGAAAAGACGATAACCTTCGAGAGATGTTAGTTAACTGTGTTAAGAGTTCTGGAGAGCGGTATGAGCGAGACCAAACTGAAGTGGATAATGAAATCAAACAGGTGATTGATAATCTGGACAACATCATGAAAAAAACTATAGGAATGGAAGATTTAGAGACACATTGTCGTGATGAAATAAAAGAGCTTGTGATAGGGGAAAATAATAAAATGTTGAAGGACGTTTTCCAAAAATTTTGTTATGTAAACCCAGTGTTATTTATGGCCAAGGATTTCAGCCTTAAAGTAAATAAAATATTTGTTGATATCAAAGTCAAACTAGGAAAATACAGAGGAACAGAAAATTATGTAGACTATAGAGAGCTTCTGCAAGTTGTCGGGAACACAGCAGAGCCTCCAGCACGACCTAAAATACTTGTGCTTGAAGGTCTGGCAGGGAGTGGCAAGACAACTTTAGTGAAGTTTGTGATTGATGAATGGATAAATGGTGGTCAAGGTAATTTAAAAGACTTAGACAAATACGAACTTTTACTATGGGTACAGTGCAGAGACTCATCCATCAAGTCTTACCAGGACCTTCTGGACCAACAGATGCCAGAGGTATCTAAAAAATTTAGGAGCTTTCTGCCGAGAATAACGAAGCTTTGTAAGATTCTGATAATAATAGACGGTCTAGATGAAGTTAATGAAATCTCAGAAAATCTTGTTGAAAGCCTATTACACGAATTTCAAAATTCTCCTCACTCAACTATTCTGTGCACTTCAAGACCAGAAAAAGTTGAAATGTTCAGCTTTACGATACCTGCAGAATATGACGTAACAAACGCTGAAATACTAGGAATAGCTAAACAACAAATTCCTGAGTTTGTACGTCGAACTCACCAGGAGATAAACAAACAGACGAATAACAATCGATGCACTGACATGCTAGTAAAGGACGTGATGACGGTATCAAGTATTCACAAACACTTAACACTTCCAATGAACTTAACATTTCTCATTTATATCCTTGACAACACACCTGACAAGTTGAACATGACAGTCACTGAAACTGAACTCTACCATGAAATTCATCACATGTGTCGAAAGAAGTTAATGGAGCGATTAGTGATTAAGTATCCAAAGATCAAGGCCATGAGTGAAAGTGACTTGCAGTACAGGATCAAAGAAATTTTGAAAATGATATATATGACACAACTCGTGTGTCTCTCACATGATCAATTGACCCTTAATGAAGATACAGTATATCAATTACACTCTGTTTGTAACACTCTGGAGTTACCTTCTGATGAGGTATTTTCCACATTTCTCAGTCCTAATCCCATTTGGACCTGGCGAGGTGTTAAGGAGCAGTACTCAGCTCCCCACAAGGGAATCCAAGAGTACTACAGCGCCTTGCATATTGTAACGACGCTCAAGGATCAGCAACAGTCTTCTGTGTCTGCTCAATCATGTGATTCCACATCAGCCTCAGCTACAGTGATCACACCTGCCAGTATACGTGGAGTGTTGGAACAAACTGCAGGAACAGCCAAAGTAAACATGGTCAAACACGAGAATATGCTGAGGCATGTGGCTGGGCTGATATATCTGTTTGGTCATTTTCCTGATGATATCTCACTGGAAATTGTTGATATACTACGTGAGTCTGGGGTAAAACACAAAGAAATGTGGCTTGATCTCATTGGACGCACCAAGACTACTCAAGTTACCTCTCAGGCCATATCTCGATTAATGAATATTGGAAAAAATATAACAATTGAAGATAGAAGTGTGGGGAAGTACGCAGCTCTCCTGCCACACCACAGGCCATCCAAGATCGTTATTAATTTGACTGATGACCCTGCAGACCAGCCTCGTCTGCAGGAACTGCTGGAGGGCCTCGTCCACCATAAGTGCAGAATCCTGAAACTGTACCATCACTACTATCATGCAGACAAGACTACTTCCTCTGACAACATCCTTAAATGGATCAAGTCCAGGTGAGTTGAAAGATTATTTTTGGGTAACTAGATACAAATGGCTCACCTATCTTTAACAGTTGGGTGAACGATACAGAATTTACTGATAAATAAATATATATATATATTTTTATAGTATATATATATATATATATATAAATATATATAATATATAATATAAATATATATATATTTATATTATATAAATATTTAAAAAATATATATATAATATCAAAACAAACACTCTAAAGAATGAGAAATTCCAAGCGCTTCGCGACTACTCACATTATCAAGGAACTATGAAAGTGAAGCATCCAAGGAAGCTATATAAGGGGGCCGGCCAGCACCTCACTATCAAATCCCACAACGGTTAAACACGTGATGCGCGGCGAGCCAACTTGGATAGGTCCTTTGCACAACTCACCCCAAACTATTCTACCCAAGAAAATTTAAAAATTATTTGTCCAGTGTATTATTAAATTCTTCCCAAATTCTATTAATTATAAATGGATCTAATTTATATAAACCAAAGGAAATATTCATATTATTGTCAAAACTGCTTTTTATGAAACAAGATTCAATTATATTCCTGTCGACCATGGACTTGCTTGATACTACTTTCTCAACTTTTTGAAAATCAATTGGATGGTTAAAATCTCTTACATGAATAAATAGAGCATTGGAATCTTGTCCAGTTCTAATGCTATATTTATGTTGTTTTAATCTTAGTTCGAGATTTTTACCAGTTTGACCGTAATAAACTTTATCGCAAATTTTACAAGGAATCTTATAGACACATCCATCAGCATTTTGGGGGGAATTCTTTATCAAAAGTTTTTTTACTGTATCATGATTTTTGAATGCAACTTTAATATTAAAATTCTTAAGAAGAGAAGGCATATCAACCAAGTTTTCATGGTAAGGAAGAACCAACATATTTTTAGTTGAATAAGGCTGGTTGCCCCTTTTTGGATTATAAAAAGTGTTTCTAGCAACTTTAAAAGATTTATCAATTACATTTCTTGGGTATTTTAAATCATTACCTATTTCATAAATTTTGGATATTTCCTCATCTATGAACTCAGGACTACAAATTCGTAAAGCTCTCAAAAACATTGATGAGAAAACAGACAGTTTGACTCTATCTTGATGCGAGGAATAATAGTGGACATAGGAACAGTTATTTGTAGGTTTTCTGTAAATTTTAAATTTGAATTCATTAATACCCTTAATAATTAAAACATCTAGAAAAGGCAATGAGTTATTTTCTTCAAACTCAACAGTAAAGTTTATAGAATGGGCTAAGCTATTTAATTTTCCAAGAAAATGGTGTATATCTACATTTTTGGGCATAAGACACAAAATATCATCAACATATCTGAACCATTTAGCTCTATTAGGGAGGATTGTGTTAAGCAACCTTGTTTCAAAAAATTCCATGTATAGGTTACTAAGAACAGGTGAAAGAGGATTTCCCATTGCCATACCAAACTTCTGAGTGTAAAACTTATCATTAAATACAAATTTTGCATCAACAATGCAAAGTTTAATAAGTTTAATGATAGTAGGAACTGGCAATGGTAAATCATAGTTAACGAGTTCTTCAGATAAGAAACTTAATAAATCATCAACAGGAACTTTCGTAAACAAGGAAGTAACATCAAAACTAACCATGTTAAAATCATTTAAGTCAGTCAAGGAGCTTAATTTATCAACCAATTCTATGTTGTTTTTAACATTAAAGTTAGAAATTTTGCCAACAATAGGGCTCAAAATATCAACAAGCCATTTGGATAATTTATATGAAACTGACCCTATGGAGCTAATAATTGGTCTGACTGGATTCCCTGGTGTGTGTGTTTTTATATAACAATAAAAATTTGCGCCTTACTAAAGCAGACAAAATAAATGCAATAGTAATTATGAAAGAAAATGATTACCAAGAAAAAATGAATAATCTCTTAGATGATACTGAAACCTATTCTAAACTTAGGAAAAATCCCCTAGAAACCGTTAACAGCAATTTCAATAAAACTATAAAACTTCTACTGAAAGGCAAAGATGAATTAGTCAAACAATTTACTTCCATCTTTACCTTACATGTATGGACTAATAAAAACACACAAACCAGGGAATCCAGTCAGACCAATTATTAGCTCCATAGGGTCAGTTTCATATAAATTATCCAAATGGCTTGTTGATATTTTGAGCCCTATTGTTGGCAAAATTTCTAACTTTAATGTTAAAAACAACATAGAATTGGTTGATAAATTAAACTCCTTGACTGACTTAAATGATTTTAACATGGTTAGTTTTGATGTTACTTCCTTGTTTACGAAAGTTCCTGTTGATGATTTATTAAGTTTCTTATCTGAAGAACTCGTTAACTATGATTTACCATTGCCAGTTCCTACTATCATTAAACTTATTAAACTTTGCATTGTTGATGCAAAATTTGTATTTAATGATAAGTTTTACACTCAGAAGTTTGGTATGGCAATGGGAAATCCTCTTTCACCTGTTCTTAGTAACCTATACATGGAATTTTTTGAAACAAGGTTGCTTAACACAATCCTCCCTAATAGAGCTAAATGGTTCAGATATGTTGATGATATTTTGTGTCTTATGCCCAAAAATGTAGATATACACCATTTTCTTGGAAAATTAAATAGCTTAGCCCATTCTATAAACTTTATTGTTGAGTTTGAAGAAAATAACTCATTGCCTTTTCTAGATGTTTTAATTATTAAGGGTATTAATGAATTCAAATTTAAAATTTACAGAAAACCTACAAATAACTGTTCCTATGTCCACTATTATTCCTCGCATCAAGATAGAGTCAAACTGTCTGTTTTCTCATCAATGTTTTTGAGAGCTTTACGAATTTGTAGTCCTGAGTTCATAGATGAGGAAATATCCAAAATTTATGAAATAGGTAATGATTTAAAATACCCAAGAAATGTAATTGATAAATCTTTTAAAGTTGCTAGAAACACTTTTTATAATCCAAAAAGGGGCAACCAGCTTTATTCAACTAAAAATATGTTGGTTCTTCCTTACCATGAAAACTTGTTTGATATGCCTTCTCTTCTTAAGACTTTTAATATTAAAGTTGTATTCAAAAATCTTGATACAGTAAAAAAACTTTTGATAAAGAATTCCCCCCAAAATGCTGATGGATGTGTCTATAAGATTCCTTGTAAAATTTGCGATAAAGTTTATTACGGTCAAACTGGTAAAAATCTCGAACTAAGATTAAAACAACATAAATATAGCATTAGAACTGGACAAGATTCCAATGCTCTATTTATTCATGTAAGAGATTTTAACCATCCAATTGATTTTCAAAAAGTTGAGAAAGTAGTATCAAGCAAGTCCATGGTCGACAGGAATATAATTGAATCTTGTTTCATAAAAAGCAGTTTTGACAATAATATGAATATTTCCTTTGGTTTATATAAATTAGATCCATTTATGATTAATAGAATTTGGGAAGAATTTAATAATACACTGGACAAATAATTTTTAAATTTTCTTGGGTAGAATAGCTTGGGGCTGAGTTGTGCAAAGGACCTATCCAAGTTGGCTCGCCGCGCGTCACGTGTTTAACCGTTGTGGGATCTGATAGTGAGGTGCTGGCCGACCCCTTATATAGCTTCCTTGGATGCTTCACTTTCATAGTTCCTTGATAATGTGAGTAGTCACGAAAGCGCTTGGAATTTCTCTATTCTTTCAGAGTGGTTGTTTTGCATATTTTAAAATCACTGTTTACTGTGATTCATTATTGCATAATATATATATATATATATATATATATATATATATATATATATATATATATATATATATATTATAATATATATATATATATATATATAAAATATTATAAATATAAGCTTCTACAACATGTAAGGACACTCTATACATGTTGTCTTCACTACGACAGACTCATAAATCATACATGGTGAATCACTTACCAGTAGCTGGCATATTATACATTTCAAGATGAATGTCAACTTTGATACTCATATTAAAACTCAATAATCCCGAACTACAGAGCAGAAAATTACCTGGTAACATTAATGATGTAAACACGGCTGAACTTATTAGATATGACTAATATAGGAGCAAGGTGGAAGACATTCTAAAGTATAATCTTAAATATTGAGAACGATAATATTCCACGTACAGTACTGTTTATTAGTACCATAGAGGAATGTAAATTATCAGGATAACCGGAGGACTGTCAACCTCCTACACAAAGAGAATGATTAAGTATTGCAACAACAATGAATCGTACAGATTTTTTAAGATACGTCAAAAGCCAGAAAATGATTGAAAACTGTGTTGGTAATAAAGTGGTTGTGCCACTTGCCTTTCTTCCCCTCCTCTCCTCCACCCTCCCATCCTTTTCCAGTATTTCCATCCTTCCCCATCCTTCTTCCTCCCCATCTTACCACATCTCTGGTCGTATTGACTGTTGCTAAAATGGAAACATTCATACAGAGACAAACTCTATTCTCAAAGTAAATTTTAGCTCGGTGTTTGTATCCGTAAATGAAACCAATACACCCAGGTAACATTGTAACTTCTCTGCAAGAAATGAAACCAATATACCCAGGTAACACTGTAACTTCTTTGCAAGAAATGAAACCAATATACCCAGGTAACATTGTAACTTCTCTGCAAGAAATGAAACCAATATACCCAGGTAACATTGTAACTTCTTTGCAAGAAATGAAACCAATACACCCAGGTAACATTGTAACTTCTCTGCAAGAAATGAAACCAATATACCCAGGTAACACTGTAACTTCTCTGCAAGAAATGAAACCAATACACCCAGGTAACACTAAACTTCTCTGCAAGAAATGAAACCGACTCACTAAAGGTCAATAAAATCTACACAACGCCTACACTGAAAACCTGGAAAAGCTGAACAATAACAAATCCCGGGAAAAAGATGAATTACAAGAAACACTAAAATAATTTATATGTCAAACTGGATACTCGTTTAATGT